CTATCTGCTCGTACTTCGGGAGAGCTGTTGTCGTCATCTTCGGCATTGTAGTATAGGCTAGATAGGATCTGCCATCTGTAGTCTGGGCGCCGAGCACCAGATAGGATATCAACATTGGCTCCTCGTTGATGATGATGATGAGACTATTTCAGCATTGTCAATCATGAGCTTTTGGTGTGCTCTTATTTGGTGAAACTCGTGATGCAATTCTGCTCTTGGTTCGAGGTCACGACTATCTGGTCTAATGTGTATGATGCTGTTTGATTGCTGAAGTTCGTTATTGCTCATCTTCCTTGCAATTTGGTATCAGAGCTGTGGTACATTGCGCTCATCTGGCGCTTGTCTTCTGCCTATGCGGTACATACATGTGGTCTGCTTGGTGAGTAAGGCCGTAGGTGGTGTGTAGTGAGGAGGGCGGAGACAAGGTGTGGCAACCCAGGAGGAGAGGGGAATCGCCGGTAAGGCTACGGTGTGTATATTGGGTGTTCACAGTGTGATGAAAACTATCTGGTGGTTGATTGACGCTGCGGTGGAACGGCGAGATAATGCTGGTTGTGCCGATGCAGTGACTGGCCATCGCAATCGCCATCAGGTCATCTGGTGAGAATATATGTGGTTGGGGGCAGCTATAATGAGGTACGTTAGTCTAAACCTTATCTACCCTCTTCATCACTTCTTACCATGAGGTTGTGAGTTCCTTCTTGAGAGTCCTCTCATGGGAGGTGTCGTGTGCGCTCAACCTTGAGAGTCGGCATTGTCCAGGTGGAGCATCTGGAAGGAGAGGGCGGTGCTTTCTGAAGGGCATTGGACGGAGCACTGGGTCACGGTCACCATGCCAACCCACCGGGAGTAGAGCACACATGCTTTGCTTCTTTGTCCTTGTCTGCTTGCTGCGCTCATAGAAGGGGTACTGAAGGGTCGGGCAGCCCTACGGGAGAGACGAGTACCGGGCGTCTATAAATAAACACCGGCTGGGGAAACCATTGGCTGTGAGCGTCGTCCTGCTGCGACGTAAAATAATTCCTGATGGCACTTGGGGGCGGTCGGATCAGCCAATCGGTGTAAGGCTCGCTGCACGCGAGGATAAACACAGTGCAGGGCTGGCCAGCTCAGCAGCTACTCGGGGCACAGGGGTGGGCCGTGTGCACACCTTTAGTCATGCACGCCTAACCGGATTGCTCAGGGACGCTGACGTCAAGTGACAATCAAGGGGAATTGGGGAAGGGGTAGATTCCAGGTGATAAGTTTGAGTAAGATCCCATGCTGCAAACAGACCCAACAACTGATATTGTTTTTATTTTGATTAGTTAGATGTACTGCCATTGACATCTGACAAACAGCATAGTTTAGAACTGATTCTGTTCATTATGCTTTCTGTTTGTAAACTAATCAAAGTAGAATAATATTATTTGTAGGAATCTGAACTTACCTGCTGGACTCGAACGTTTAGTCTCTAATACAGCTGCCGATTATTCATATCGGTCTGTACATGTCGCTGCGGTAGGCATCCATTGCGTGTCCTAGTGTAGACGGTGTGCAGTTCTGAAGCATATGAGCGACAGGGACACCACTAGTGAGGACGACCGGATCTTGTGATCGGCTAGACGTCCGATAGCCCACTTGGCCTTAGTACCAGACGGGGACAGATATATGTTCCGCCAGCTTAGGGAGAGGCGGCAGCAGCAGAGGAGAGCTAGAGCAGCAGAGGTAGTGGAGATGCAAGACCAGCAGACGACAATCTTACAGGACATCCAGCAGAGTCTAGCCGTCTTGGTCGGACGAGCGCAGGCGGCACCATCACTGTCCAGGCCTGGTGCCTGGCCCGTTGTACATCCTCCTCCTTTTGTTCCACCGGTGACTGGGGTATCCCCATATACCGCTCCAGTATCGGTTCAGCCTGTCTCCCTGGGTATGCCGTTAACAGGAGGGCTCTCAGCAGGTCCTAGTTTACAGGTTCTTGTACAAACAGTGTTTACCCAACCTCCGTCGCAGGTTGCCGTAAGTGTGAAGCCTGCTGTCTCGCAGCCTGTACAGCCGCAGGGTACACAGCCCTTGCAGTCAGTGCAGCAGCCTGTACCACAGGGTCCATAGCTCGGAGTGATGCGGGGACCGGGACAAAGTCAGTGGGTACCAAGGACGGCCATCGCCGCTCCAAAACCATTTACATGGGATAAGAGGGGCGAAGACCTCGACACTTGGTTGAGGGCAGTGTCAGTCTATGTCAAGTGCAAACTTACCTTGCCGCACGAGGAAGTGCTTGTGGCTGCATCCTACCTAGAGGGTAGTGCAGCAAGATAGTTGAGTGGTTTAGTGCAGTTGCAGGGATACGGTCATGACTTCCGCGCTTGGGCAGCCCATCAGAAACTGGGGGACTTTCTCAAGATGGTGGAAGATAGGTGGCACAATCCACAAGAGGCCCAAAAGGCCACTGACGCGATCCTGACACTGCACACGAGGCAGTTCAAGTCAGTAAGAGAGGTCACTGATGTTGTAAAGCATCTGATCTGTGTCCTTGGGGTGCGCTATGACCCCCACGTCTTACTCACCTCCTACCTGAAATGCTTTCCCATGCCTCTCAGGAATCAGTTGGCAGGTGAGGCCAACATCAATATGCACAACTTTCCCTCGTTCAGTAAGAAGGCCGTAGACCTTGAGGCAAAGGTAGGGCATGGACATAATCCCACGACGGATGGTAGGAAGAAGACACTGCCTCCCAACTGGAAGGCGAAGGGTCGCATAATGTTTGTCGATAACGATGGTTCAACCATCGAGTTAGATGACAACTTCCAGGAGGGAGTTGGTTCAGAGGCTGGCAACGTAGAGGCTTCAGGGGGTGGAGTAGTCGCTGTCGTAACACAGAAAGGTAAGGCGACCGGTAGACGCCGTGGAGGATCCCGGTCAGGGAGTCAATTTGACCCCAATGCTCCTCCAAGGGAGAAAGCGGGTCTCACTTAGGACGGGTGGAGAGATCGGTATACACAGCAGGCTTGTATCCGTTGTGGCCAATATGGCCATAACCAATTCAAGTGCCGAAATAAGAAGGTGACCGAAAAGATCTCGCCTACGATGGGGCAGGCGTTGGGATCCTCCGCTCCCATTGGTAGCAATGTGGCTAGCACTTCTGGCACTGCTCCGGGAACCACGTCGGGCCAGTAGGAATAGTAATTGTTCCTACTAGGGTCGAGGTGGTGGACACACCCTCGCCATCTCGAGAGATGGCCCAGGCTATTGACTCCATAGTCGTCCCGCAAACACGTTCAGACCCATCGAGCCTCTGTTCGATGAATGTGTTTGAGTCCTTAGAGGAGTTAGAGGAGGAGTGGTCTAGATCAGACCCGCTAGCTTCTTGGACTACATTGGTCAAAGCCCCTAAGGGTGAGATGTTCGTCAACGAGGTGGTCATTGGCGGCCACAAGGCCGGGGCCTATTATGACACTTGCTCGACACGAAACTTCACTAGTCGCGCGTGCGTTGAGAGGTTGCGCTTACAGGGGCAAGAGTTGCGCCTGAGTCGACCTGTGAAGTCTAACTGTGCCAACAAACAGCGCATGGTAGTCAACGACTACCTCCAAAATGTTGAGTGTTGTTTCCCGTACGCAGGAGGGGAACTGAGACATCATGTCTCGTTCTACCTCTCTGTGACAGAGCCCCAGTTTGGCTGGGACCGAAAAGTGGTCCAACACACTTTGCCAGGTGGAGGGACCGCTGGATTACGTAAGTTCAAAGCTAGTAGTCTAATTGATTC